ATAAATATAATTATATTCAAATTTTATGTCTAGAAGTGCAATTTCTGGCCATCTAGAGGTGCCATAATCACAAATTTTCTTACCTCAGCCCCAACCATGGTGGGGCTGAGGTAGTATATCTTCTATCTGTGAAAGTACCCTCCCTGGGCCCATATCGAATTCCTGGATCGGCCACTAAATTACAGCAAATATGAAATCATATTACAGTAGCTTGATGCCTATAAAATAACTTATAAAATTCACCAAACTTCGTAAAATAGCCGTAGCTTCCAGGGGCCTTCGCCGCCTGGACCCCCACCGGGTTCCCTTGGCGGCCCCCTGGCTCCCAGCCTAGATGCTTGCTTCGCTCGCATACTGGACCTTATGAAACCCCCCCCCCCCCCCCCACTTTCAAAAACGTTCCGCCGCTGTTGGAGGATGGGCTGGTCCTGAATGTACTGCAATACCAGGTCAACAAGTCCCCAGGACGGAGCAAGCTCTTGTTCCATAGCCTGGATTAAAAAATCAGTTTAATATTCGAGGGACCTATAGATCTCCACCACGATTCAGCGCACACACAGTGACTACCACTAGATTAGCCGACTCATATGCTAAGCATTCGTCTTCGTCAATCGCATTGGGCAGCAAGAGATTTTGTGAGTTATGAACTAGCGGGTTAGTAGCAGTTTTCTAAAAGTGTGCCAGTATTACCATTAATCTCAATTAAATCGCTTTGAGCAATTATACATGTACGGTTGCTATTTCAATTCTGTTTTTTTGAAGATATATTTCCCTCTGGTCCTGAATGTACTGCAATAATAATAATAATTTATTAGGAACTACACTTTTCAATCAGTGGCTCACTTCTCAATCGAAGGTGCGTCCAAAACAAAATGTACAGTAAAGTTCACAAAAAAAACTTATGCTTAGAAAAAGACAATTCAATTTTCAAAAGGGACATTAAGGAAAAGTAAAAAAAAAAGAAACTGTTCAGCCATATAAAATCAAAAGCAATCTTAAACTTAAAAAAAACTTAAGGCAAAATAAAGTGATTCAAACAATCACATGAACAATTATACAAACACCATACAAACGTACATGAAATACACATACAGTACATAAGTACATGTATATCCATACACAACTGTATACCCAGTCACATGACTGTACCGTACTCACAATTATAAACATAAAGACATACAGTACATACTGAACTCTATACTACACCACTTATCACACAAGAAGCACACATGTCAGGCCAGATAACAGAAGCATATAAAAGTAAATCAAAAGTCATAAAGTAATACAGGACTAAAATCAAAAACGTTCGTTTTTTTTTTATCTCATTTCTCTTTTCCATGCCCTTGTAGCATACCCTTTACAAAATTTGTCAAATTTTTCTTCAATTTCTTTTGGAAGATTTAGTGAAAAAGAGCCAAGAACATACATTAACTTCTGATCGGTTGTTGAATTTATAAATTGGTTCCAAATAGGCCTATTTGTATTTACTATTTCATGTTCAAGCTTTGCTAGTTCTTCCAATCTGATGTTATGGAGGGAAGGACATGAAAAAAGAAAATGTCAATTATCTTCAATTGAATAAGAGCTACAAATACAACAAGTGCCATCATTATTATCGGACCAACTTGAGATTCGTTTTTGTAACGGTAAAGTATTGGGGCGTAATCTAAAATCTGTAGTTTCAAGTAAATATCTTAATAATTGAGTAATCTGAAAGGGAAGATTTTTGATCAAGATTACTTCTCCAATCAGTACAAGCTTTTTCTTTAAGTTTATTCAAAATGAAGTTGGTCCAATACCAGGTCAACCCGTGGCCTGGACGGAGTAAGCTCGTGTTCCATAGAGTTCAAAAATCAGTTTAGTATTCGAAGCTACTCTCAATGAGCAGCGTTTCAGATATTAAGCTGAAAAGAACAGATATTACACATGATCTTTGCCAAAAGGCCGAGAAGCGATACCGTAACACAAATACCAATGCTATTAATATAAAAGAACAGCACGCTAAAATATTGGTGTTGGAAATGCAGTTTCAACTGAAAAGAACAGATACCGTATTACACATGATCTTACCCAAAAAAAAAATAGTAGATATTATTTGTATTGGCCATCTTAATCATTTATTTTACTTTGAATATCAATGCACTAGCAAACAACCCAAAGGTTGATATTTGGCTTTAGCAAATTAAAAAATAAAAAGCCTCCCTCCCTTATCACTTTACTAAAGGATAAAGGTATAGGTAGGAAAATAACCCGTAACTTGTGAAAAACCTTAGGACAAAGGCCTATTGGTTTGTTTGTTTTATTTTTTCTTTTGTAACTACTATTTATTTTGCCTTGCATGCGGTAGTAATATGGTACTATGTATCACGGTGAAAGGAATAGTATTTCTTTCTCTATTTGTGTAAATCTCTTGTAGTTTGTCCTGTTGTTTGGCTTATTATTCTTGGTTTAAGAGAAGGTATAGAGCATTTCCGTGTGTGCTTCTGCTTTTAATTCTATCTGTGATTTTATGTTTGTGATTTTACTAGCTGTACCATTTATTTTGACTTGCATCTTGTAATAGGCCTACTATGTATCATGGTGAAAGGAATATGATCGTATTTATCTGTTTGAATAAATCTCTTGGTGTTAAAATAAATATGAAAAAATTGGTGTCAGTGACTCGTTTGTTAAAATTTGTGTGGATTTATGTTGTTCGTTTAAGTTAAGTTTAAGGTTGATTGGTTTAATAATCTTGGTTTAGGAATGTATAGAATATTTTCCATGTGTATTTATGCTTTTAATTGCTTTAAATTTAATTGCTTTTCTATTTGTGAAATTTGTGTTTGTGATTTTGCTCACTTATAACATTTTATTTCATTTTTTCAGATTACAGATTTATTGCTACGCTGAACTTTAGACATGGAAGACGTTTATTTTCAATTATGTTTACAGTATAATTTATTTGTCATGTACTATATTATTTGAGGTTTAAAGCATTTAATAACATAAAACCATTTCATTCTTTTATTTCAGACACGTAGGTCACCTTTGGATGTTGGAGATGCGAAACTCGCGGCTCCCACAGTGGCGTATCTGGAAGTCTTGAAATGGGGGTGCTGATGGGGGCGCGAAAGTGAAGTGGAAGGGATCGAAGATCAGTTGAGGGGCGCTAACTCGCAAAATAAGGTGATTTCAAGTGATTTTTAACTATTTGCAAGTGATTTTCGGAAGAGTTTTTCCCAAGCCCTTGTCGAGGAGGAACAAATTATATGTAATTTTTACAGAATGCTGGATTCTCAAATACTTAAATTGTTGGAATTTCTTGGTTTCCCCGACCCCACCCACTTGTATTTATGCTGCCGTCCGTTTGGGAAAATTAGATTTCCAGTCGGCAGCATAGGGCCCCCACCCGTCTGGTAAATCCAGGCACCACCATGTTTTTAAGTTGTTCATAACATTAAATTATATTCCTTTATCATTTCAGATATATAACCGCCTGTTTGCCTAAATATGCTCTTGACCTCTGTCGTCATGGTGTTGACAGAATCCACTTACCGAATCACGGGTGTCTCCTTATCTTTTCGTCAATCTGCATGTGTCTTACAATATGCCTCGTCATCGTTTACAGGGCTAGGTTCTACCGAATTCAACTAGCAGCATGGTTTAACCATGGCATTATTTTGAATAGGCCTATCACATCAAATCAAATCTCAAAATAATAATTAAAACTAAACAACATAGTCACAGAAATTGTAACAAAATAAACAGTGACACCCAAAATACTTCCCGCAATTAAATAATAATTATAAAATAATATCTTAAAATTAACTACCGGTATTCCACAATAAATAAACAAAATGGCCAGCGCTTACACACATTACAAATACGCCTACACACTTTACAAATACGCCTACATACCGTAGATACTAAATTATCTCCTGGATCATTCAAATTTAAAAGTTTAAAAATCGATTTCCTAACAGTTTTTAACATCGGATTGTCAAGCTTGGTTTTCATATGTTACTATCGTTTTACGCTATCGCCGACAGCTTTCGGTGACTAGTCGGTGGACTAGGGGAGCCTTCCCGATTGCGTCGGGGAGTGCTAACTGTAGCAAAGATTGCACTCAGGCTGAAAACACGTGCTGTAGCGATAGTGTAGCGATTTTAAGAAAACCCGGCCTTAGCAACCAAACAGGAATTCTCTTGAATGCAGATCAAACTTAACTTTTCTTTTCTTATATTTTATTTTTATTCATTTTTTAAAATGACATTTAATTTTTAATATTTTGTATAACCCTTTAATAGGCCTACCATATGCTAACTTCAAGAAATTTAAATTCGAATTAACAGACCAAAGATATACGCTAATTTGCTGTCCACATCCAAATTATTTCTATTCATCATTATGATTTGCTTAGGCATATCCACGAATTGATCCTCCTATTTAAGGGCGTTTTGGTCTTACAATACGGTACATTACTAGTGTAGTGTGTTTCATAGACTGTACCTTTAAACCGTAATCTGTACAGGTGTATCAAAGCAAAGTATACATGCATATAATTTTTTCAAACAGTGTGGGACAATCAGGGTGGACCTACTTTGCCCGTAAATTCAAATAATGTGGACCCATTTTACACAAAAATATGAAAAATCTGGACACATTTTTCAAAAGGTGGACTCATTTTATGCATACAATTGCTTATAATTTGGACCCATTTTTAAATATGTGGACCCATTCTTCGTGGACCCATTAAAACAATTGTGTGGGACTGTCCCAAATGTCCCAATAGCTGGAAATCGGAAATACACTATATAAAAGTGTATATAGTATGAAGAGAATATTTTTTTCATATTCTATTTATTTCATCAACTATATAACACTGTGTGGTGACACCCCTGCTATTTATATAATAATAGATAGTTCAAGTTATAGGTACTGGCTTCCGCTATGGGCCACTCCACCCGATCTTTTATGACACATGAGGCGTCGAGTGTAAATTAACATTATCATTTATATACAATCCATAGTTAACGTATAATTGAAAAGGTTACTCATTGTTTACATTAGATTATAAGGCATGTTATGCCTCTTGAAATTATAAGCAAATAATTGGGTGAAAGTTGTTATTATTTATACAGGCCTTTACTGATTCAGGGCCTCCAGTTAAAGACCACTTTTGGAACCAGGGTTTTTGTGGTCTTTAGCAGCTTTGGTGTCTAATTAGGTTAATAAAGATAAAAGACATTTGTAAATTTGGACCCTCAGAAAAGAGGTCTTCAATTAAAGGTGGTCTTTAATTGGATGGGTCTTTGATTACAGGTAGACCTGTATAAGGAAATGGTAACCAACCTTATAGTTCACTAATTTAATATTATACATAACAAAAGGGTAACTAATTATGAATAAATAATGAAGAGTAACCAGAATTATTTATATATATAAGTTAACGAATTTCTTTATCTATAGTTAAAATGCTTGTATATTTCATATACAGTACCGTACTATAGATGTTTTCAAACACACACACACACACACACACATATATATATATATATATATATATATATATATATGTATGTATATATATATATATATATGATTGGACTTCAACTTCATGTATACAAAATAGATTTTACATTTCACTACATAGGCCTACATCACGTCAATATGGAATATGAGTAATAATGATTTTATTGATGCAGTATTGAATTGTTAATGTAGAATTTAAACTGATATCAAAAAATAACTTCACAAATAATTGTTGCATTTCTATATAAATATATTACAGAGCAAACAAGAATGACCTCAAAAGCATTCAGTAAAATTAAAGAAAATATTTTTCATTCTAACCTATGTATTTCAACTGAATTATCAATACCATCGTGCTTAGAAAATTTATCAACAACCTCTATAGTGTCCTCATCTTCCCCTCCAGGAGGAGGTTTATAAAGTAGTAACGAAGTGGAAAATGAGCAAAGACTAACAATTTTAAATCCTACGCCGATAAGAAGTAAATTGCGGCCCATTTCTTCGTTACTGTACAACCAACAGGAGCCCTTGTTTCCGCATTCATACTGCCACATCGTGCAGCTAGCGTCTATAGCGAGTCCAAACAGGATCGGCCCGGGGATTGTCCCTACGATAAAAGAAAAAAAATCTTAGAAAAACACTATAGGAGGGCCACAAAATGATAACGGGAAAAACAAAAAATAATAAATAATATTACCCTTATTCAGCGAATTTCTGCTAAGGTGTTAATGCGTTTTGCAACAACGGAAAAGGATAAACAAAATCATTATAAATTCTTTACAATTTTACACAATAAGCTTAATAAATTTTAAAAAGTACATACTGCACTGTATTGAAACTTTGGACCTTTTCTAATTGGTATGGTGGGGGTGAGCGTACGCACTCACCACCTCACCCCACCCGACCCCTGAATACGGGCCTGACAACACCGATTGTGGATATAGAATAGTAGAACTTTGATGTAATATTTATCGGACCTCGAAACAGTACCCAAAAACTAATTGAATCATCGATATACTAACCAAACACTCGAGCAAATATCCATTGAACTCCAAGACCAAACGAACGCTGATTATCTGGTATACATCTAATAAATACACAAATCAGTCAATTAGGTAACGTTCAAGGGTTAAACGTTAAGTTGAGTCCATATTTCTATGCATTATATATGAGTATACTCTCTGTGGTAGCATCTGCAGAAACATGTGACCTGTATTAATGTATATATATAATTATATATATATATATATATATATATATATTATGTAAAAAATTAAAATCCTTTGTTCAAATGAAGAGTAATCTTTTCATATTTCCTTAATAAAGAAACTGGTAATCTTCTTGAACTGAAATCCTTGATAATAGAACCAAATGGACGTAAGTTGACAAAAAATACAACGCATTTTAAAAATAACACAAAAGATTTAA